TGATTATATAACAGATAGCCAAATCATAGGAACGAGTAATAAAATAACGCTCTGAAAAACGTCTGTTGAATAACACGTGAGGCGTACAAACGTTAAACTATTATATGATAGAACTTACTTTAGCCGCTTAACTGAACAACAAACTTCGCAATGTTCGTGGCTGGTCCTCTTCTTAAACCATCTTGCATAAGCGTTTCTACGGTATACTCAATAAACGCTACACTGTTGGTACCATTCTTCTCGATTATCTCAATTTCATCGTCGTTAAGAGAAAATTTATCTTTGCTGGAATTTAAAAAATTTTTGACATCCATTAAACTCCAACCTTCGACAGGTTCGACTGACGGATTGGCGTGAGTACTTGTAAAACTTGACATGATTTAGATAAATATGTTCAAAAAAAAAGGGGGTATTTATATGAAATCTATTCTCCGGATAATCAAATATGGCCAATCATGATCACGAGAGTCCAAAACGTGAATATATCAATTTTCTCGTGAGCGGGTGGAGAAAGTATAAGTTAAACAATCAAAAAAAAAAAATTCTTTATAGCGTTAAAGTATGTTTTTATTATTTTGTACACTTTTTCACAATGAATAAATCATCTTTCGTATGTTTGATATAAAAATAAAATAAAATAAATTTTTTGTGGAGTTGCATTGAAAAACGCAGTAGGCAAATAGTCTGATATATTAGAACACTTGCAGTCGGACCCAAAGCCTGTCTCGAAAGACAATGACTGCTCCTATTCTTTGGCTCCCTAATTTCTACCATTATCACTATTACTATTACTACTACTACTATTACTACTACTAGAATCCCTTCCTTCTCTATTAACCCATGCTTCGATTTTATCCAAGGAAGTAGTCCTCGGTGATTTTTGATGGTGGTAGAAACTCGCCAAAGTTGCAGAGCTCAGATGTATTTCTTGAGAAATTACATTTAAATTTGTGTGTGTTAGCGCCCTCCCCTCTTCTTCTTTAATTAAATAAGGCTGTGAACTAACCCATAAAGTTTGTACTTCAACAGAATATACCGTATATTGGCTAGTAGAATCATGACCAGAAGATAAACGAGATGTACCTAATGAATTATAAAAAAAATTAGTATCTCTTTACCATTGAGGATATATGCAAGACAACCAGGGAGAGTAGAATATTTCTTACCTTATGATACACAATCCCATTCTGCCTCTCCTTTCATTTTTTGTATTTCATTATTTAAAGTCAATATCAATTTTTCGAGTTTGGTGATTTGTGTTTTTTCTGTGGTCAGTGTTGGAGAGAGATATTTGTGTAAAAATATAATCACCCACAGTGTGTAAAATCTATATACACAATGTGCACGTGTACATTAATTTTTGTGTACACATATTACACAACATTAAATATGCATAAATTATTACTAAAAATAGATAAATTCTATACAAAAAAAGGTAAATTTACATAAGAAATTGTTATTAATTTCTTATTTTAGTAATAATTTATAAATTTGTGCACATAAATTTTCACTTAGATTTTATACACTAATCACCCATATAAAGATTATATATATTGTGACATTCCCTGTGAAAATGCCTTAAAGCATTTCTATTATTAGAATTCTCTAGAGAATTATCTCATACAGTGGCGCTCAAAAGTATTGCATCACCTGAACATAAATTTTAAAATGGTAATATCTTGTGATTAAAAATGCGCAGTGTTACAAAACTTTAATTAATGAGTTTGTCATACCTCATATTTTATCAATCTACTTAATCTTTTTTTAAGGGGTAAAAATATTTTTTCTTTTGTTATGAAGCTTCGCAAAAATGGCGATGCAATTATTTTGATCGATTTAACAAATAAAAATAAACATTTATTCGCGAATTTTTTTGTGCTTCAAAACAACCATGCAGCATATATAAAAAAGATGCCTTATGGCATTTTCTGCCCTTTGTAATTTTATAAAATCTATGGTTTATTTATCTATTGAAAAAAGAGCTAGAATTTGTGTTTTATTTGAAGAAAATTATCCCTCCCACTATATAGCAACCAAGAAAAATATTTTCCAATTAACTGTAATAAGAACTAAGCAACATAAAGATAAAATTGGTAACTTTAAAAATCAGCCTAAATCTGGACGTCTGCGACTCTTAACTGGATAATATGAACAAAAAGTTCTAAGACTAATTACAACTGGTGAATGTACTAATGCTGTTACAATCCCAAAAAACTAAAAACAGAAGAACAAATTGAAGTTAATGAATGTACAATCAAGAGAACCTTACATAAAAATGGAATGAGTGTAAGGGTTAAACGTAAAAAACTATACCTTCAAAAAAAGCATAGAATTGCATATATGAAATTTGCTAAAAAATATAAATCATAAACAGCAGAGAATTGGAATAAAGTTATCGAATCAGGTGAATCAAAATTTATGATATATAGGTCAGATAGATAGTGAATATTATTGAAAAAAACCAAATAAACTATTAAGTGATCATCATGTTAAACTAACAGTCAAATTTGGGTGGAGTAATATTATAGTGTGAGGATGTTTAATTCTGGTGGGATTGGTAACATACTCTGAATTTATGGACATATGAATGGTGATTTATATCGTCAAATTTTGAAGGAAGACCTTTTAGAAACCATCGAGTGGCATGGAATGGATAAAGATAATATTATCTTTCAATAAGATAATAATCCTAAACATACTGCAAATCTTACTAAGCAATAGTTTGAGAATAATAAGGTTAAAGTTCTTGATTGGCCAGCACAGTCCTTTGACTTAAACCCAATAGAACACCTTTAGAATGAAATGAACCATTATCTGGGGCAGCTTGAAATACTTGTTAGAATACAGGATTAGTTGTGAAATGCAATTCAAAAAAATTGGGTTAAATTGAAGTCTGATGTATACAAAAAGTTAGTTGATACATGACAACTCATATAAATGATGTAATAAAGGCTAATAGCGGCTATAAGAAATGATAGAAAATTATTTACCAAAGGTTTAATATAATTGGATTAATTTTTTTTTATTTACATAAATATTTTAATAAAAAATCGATCAAAAGAAAAGGATTGTATAAATGATCAAAATCAAGTATTTAAAATTTTTTTATCACATTACTATATAATAATTTTTATACCATTGAATAGACTCGTTATGATAAGTCTAATAAATAATTTTGATACCACTGCGCCTTCTTAATTATAGATAATGCTATTTAAAATTTTGTATTCAGGTGATGCAATACTTTGAGCGCCACTGGATATTGTAATAAAAGCAACAAAAATAAGGAATAAGATGATGTTGAAGGTAAATGAAATTCTTTTTATTGGAGTGTTTTTAGGTATTTATTGATTTAGAAGTGTGAAAGGTATTTTGATATTTTTTTACTATTCGATAGTTTTATGCTCAAAAGAAATTGTTTTAGAGCAAAGTACTTGTTAGAGTATTTTAAAGCAATCATTATAGTTATAGTACAAAGTAATCAGGTATAGAAATACTACGAAATAGTAATTATATGAGAAAGAGTTTTAGAAAAGCATAAGTAAAAGTTAGGATATAGATTTGGTAGTATCTAAAAGTAGAATTATATAGAAAGTAAATAAGAATTATACTTTGGATACTATTAATAATAGGCAAGAAATAGGACAGGAAGGTGAATAGTCTCAGAAGAATACCTTTTTTTATACCTTCAATACTGCAGAAGTTGATTTACTCTAATTGCAATTAACTTAGAAAAATAATAAGA